AAAATCATATAACAATAATCAAAAGCATATACTGGTGAAATTCTATGATTTTTCTCGATATAGAATGCACCCAGAAACCTTTTCTTACAATAGCTTTTTTAACCTGTTTAACTTCTAACCTATTCAAAAATGAATAAAGTTTTAATCATGTATCCTTATTTCTTATAATAAAAAAAAGAAACTTTCGGCAATAAACACGCGATTTTTTTTATTTTTAAAGCTAAAAATGAACATATACCAATTGACTATGATTTTATCAAAAATAGCTTCGAAAAATGTGATTTGAATACGCGATTCTTGTTGGATGCGTGTTGTTCTTCGAATTTAACGAAACAATTATAAATAAGCTGGGTTAAAGTCTTAGAAATTTCAAAAACAAAAAAAAGCAATAAGTAATAATCGTAAAAAAGAAAAAAAAATGGGGAAAATAAAAAATTCTTTTCTACTTATTATTCTTTTCTACTTATTTTCCTACTTGGAGTTTTTTTTTCTGCAATGCCCGTCTCAGAAAAACGTGGAGACGATTTGTATAATCATGATATGTTTGTCCCTTTAACCCTTCCTGAAAAGACTGACCAACCCACAGTTCGTAAATATACTTTAAAATTATCCCAAACTCAATGGACCCCTGATGGTCATAGTCGCCCTGTTTACCTTGTCAATAATCAATATCCTGGGCCTATCCTTCAAGCTTATAAAGGTGATACCTTCTCTATAACTGTTGAAAATGACCTTCCTGTTGAAACTAGTATGCATTGGCATGGAATGTTTCAAAGAGGAACTTCTTGGTTCGATGGTGTACCTGGGGCTTCTCAATGCACCATTCCCCCGCAGTCCTCCTTCACTTATGAATTCAGTACAGATGGACAAGTTGGAACTTATTGGTGGTGATTATCCATGAATTACTATAAAATTAATTATCCATGACCTATAAAAATTTCAAATAATAATAATCTATAAAAATAAATTAACTAATATATACATATATTTCAAAGGCATTCGCATTACATGGCTCAATATATTGATGGCTTATTGGGCGCCATGATCATTCATGATCATGAGGATCCGTACTTGAAGGATTATGATTGTGATTATGTTGTTACCTTAGCTGATTGGTATCATCAAACATCTGCTGAATTGTTGTCTCAGTTTTTGACCCCTGGTTATCAAGGACAAACTGTTAGTATTATCAAATTTCAATTTTATATTAATTTATCTATATTTATCATCGTTTAGCATATTTAATAATAATATCTTTTTTTGTAATTAGCCTGTGCCCGATTCTGGTCTTATAAGTGGAAAGGGGCAGTATGCTAAAAAAGATTCCGAATTGGCTGTTTATAAAGTTCAGAAAGGAAAAAAATATAGAATCAGAATAATTAATACAAGGTAGTTTATTATTCTAAATTTACTCTTTAAAAAAGTTTAGTATTTTTTCTAATAAATTTTTTATTTGAAATTTACCCATAAAAAATAGTGCTGAAGCGCACTACATTTTCTCGATCGATGGCCACAAAATGAAAGTGATTGAAGTTGAAGGCACTTATGTAAAACCTTTCTATGTTAACCGCCTTCTCCTTCATATAGCTCAACGATACTCTGTAATTGTTGAAGCCGATCAAGATGCTAAGGACTATTGGGTACGTGCTACTATATCTCCAGAGTGTATCCCTAATGATAATATGACTATTAACCATGACTCTGCAATCAATTATAATGTTACTGGTATTCTTTCTTATGAAGGCTCCAGTTCTGGCGATAAAGGACCTGATTCTGAACCGTTCACTGATGATGTTACTCCATGCATGAATCTTGATTCTAAATTAATAAAACCTCTGAATGACTGTCCACCTAAGGATGCTACTGAAACTGTTTCATATACAGTATCGTTTGGTGTTAACGACATGAAAGTTGTTGAAGCTTTAATAAACAATTCAAGTTATATTCCAGATTATTACAACCCCACAACCTTGAAAATTATGGATGATAAAGCTAACATGAAAGATTTTCCAAGATCACAAAATATAGGAGAAATAAATGATGACAATGGTGTTGCTGAAATCGTCGTGTGGAGTATGTCATTCATGATATATAACTATCTCTTAATTTTTTTTTTTTTTGTCAAATATTATCTTACTTATACATATATGTGTTTAGATAATAATTCGGCCGATCATCCATTCCACTTGGTAAGTATTGCGCATTTTTCAAAAACATCTTCAAATTAAACATAATCCTCATATTTTATTATACTATTATTAGCACGGTCATACTTTCTGGCTCATGGGAGATGGTGTAGGAACCGATTATGACAAAAGTTCTTTAAATACTGTTGACCCTCCTATTCGTGACACTACTGTAGTTCCAGCTTGGGGTTGGTCAGTCATACGTTTTAACATTGATAACCCTGGTGTTTGGGTTTTCCATTGTCACATTGAATGGCACATTCAAATGGGAATGCTTGCACAAATTGTCGAACTTCCTCATAAATTAAAATCTCAAAAATTACCTGATAATGTTCAAAATTTATGTAGTAAGAGGGACTACAAAACCCAATAATTACTTTTATTTAAAAAAAAAGTTTAAAAGAATAATTGTTTTTATTAAACCAGATATTTCAAAATTTTAATTTTTCTTTTTACTGTAAAATAATGTTTATAAAAATGTTGTATTTTAAAACTTTATAGTAATTATAACATGATAATGTAGGTAGCTTTGAACGTCTAGTCTATTAAATTATTTTGAATAAAATTGTAAAAAATAATGTTATAACTATGAATTATTGAGTTTAAATACATAAAATTTACCTTGAGGTATATGGTCTAACTTAAAATATAATGAATATTTGATGGTATTTCTACTGTATCATAATATTTATCTTTACCGTGTAAGCGCGTAATAACGCACATGGGCGTTATTTCGAAATTTCAATTTTTTTAAAAATGCATATTTGACTCAAAATAACGTGCCACTCCATATGTACCAGATTATCTTTCACGCACTATTTTGAATCTTCGAATAAAATTGATAATAATAAGCTTAGATTCAACTTCTAAATATGAAACCTATTTATTATCATAGGATTAAACATTATTAACAAAATATCTAGAATTTATTCGCCTTATCTCAAAAATCTAAGTATCTTTTTCTAGTTCTATTATGATGTCTCAAGAAAGTTCTTAGTAGTTGAAATTTTTTTCCAAAATTAGCATAATGATTCGAATTATCGCGCATGCGCGTCCCGAAATAACGCGCTTATACGGTAATTGTTATCCTACATTATGATACTTGGCTTTGTATCAATTATTTCCAATTATAATTTCATCATGTTACATTTTAAATTTTTATAATTATTCTTGACCACAATGTTGGTGGCGTATTTATCACCTTTCGTCAATTAAAATCTTAAATGACGAAATGATGAAGCTGAAGAAAGATGATGAAAATGATGAAACTGCCAAGAGTAACGAAACTA